ATCTCTGCAATTCTCTTCAGTCTCAAGAGCACTGTGTCTCAGCAAGAGCAGCTGTGACGACTACCACTTTGTGTTGTTGATTCGTTATCTTTTATTCTCCACGCTTTTGCAAGACCTCCTTTTACTTCTCTACAACCCATCTATTAATTTATTAAAACAATCCACGGGACATCACACATCCTTGTCTAAGGGCTACTTTTACTGGGAAAAAATTTTCCCTCTTTCCTACATACTATAACTTGAGCCTCATATCCTCGTAAAAAACTCTTCACTGCTTCAGTAACCCTACCTCCTACACCATACACTTGCAACATCTGCCACAGGGCCCCCATATCCACCTGTCATACGCTTTTCCAAAATCATAAAAAGCCACATAGACCTCTTTTAGCCTTATCTAAATACTGTGCACTTATAGTTTCCTGTAAATCTCCTGGTCACACTCCCCCTATCCTTTCCTAAGCCTTCCTTGTTCATTCTTGCATCTATTCTCTGTCTTACTCTTTATTCTTTCAATTATAACTCTACATACACCTTACCAGGTTCACTCAACTGATTATCCCCTATAATTTTGCACTCTCTTGTATCCCGTTGCCGTTATTCAAAGGAACTATGCATGCTCTCGGCCAATCCCTAGGTACCTTACCCTCTTCCATACATTTATTAAAATAATTGCACCAACCACTCCAAAACTATATCCCCAACCTGCTTTTAACATTTCTATCTTTTGTCCATCAATCCCGGCTGCTTACCCCTTGATTTTACCGACTGATCACGAACTTCCCCCCTCACTCACAACTGGCTCTTCCTCACTCTACAAGGTGTTATACCTCTTGCCCTATTACACGAAATCACTGCTTCCCTATCTTCATAAAAATTTAACAATTCCGCAAAATATCCTCCATCTTCCATACCTCATAACTCTCCATTTAATAAAATCTCCTCGCCTATTTTTAACTGACCAATCAATTGGTTCCTATAGGCTTTCTTAACTTGTTCATCTCACTCCAAACTTTTTTCTTTTTTAAATTTTTAAAACCCCCCCTTTTTTTTTTTTTTGGGGGGTTTTTTTTTTTTTTTTTCCCTTTTTTTCCTTGTTTTTTTTTGGGGAAAAAATTTTTTTGTTAATTTTTCCCCTTATACCTTTTTTTTTCCAAATTTTTTCCTCCAACCCCTTTTGAACAAAATTTTTTAAAATTTTTAAAAACCATTTTTAAAGTTTTCCCCCCCCTTTTTCCTATTAGATTTTTAATGCTGTTTATACCCCCCCAAGCCCCTTTTTAGAAAAAATTCCCTTTTTCCCTATTTTTTTTTTTTTTTTTTTAGGAAATTTAAAAAATTATTTATTTCCCCAAAAACATTATTCCAAATTATAAAGTTTTTTTACCAAAAAAAAAAAAAATTTTAAAAAAATCTATGGAAATTTTTTATTTTTTTTAAAATTTTTTTTCCAAAAAACCCCCTTTAAAAAGTTTTTAGGGCCCCTTTTTTTTCATAAAACTTACCAAACCCCCCCCTTAAAACCCATTTTTTTTTCAGTTTAAATTTTTCCTTCTTTTTGGGTTGGGCCCTTAACTTCATTAACATTCCCTTCCCCCCCCCCTTTTTGATCCCTCTTCTCCTGAACCGTTTATTATAATTTTGGAAACCCTTTTTTTAACCATTTTTTTTAAATTATTTTTTTTTATATATTATATATATATTTAATTATATATATATTATATATATATTTTTATTAATTTATTTATATTTTATATTTAAAATATTACTTTAGATTATTGGTTGGGTTTTTTTTAAATGATTTTGGGTTTACAGGGGGGTAAACTAGGACGGAACGAATCCCTTTTACCCCCTTTCCCAGGTTCTACATTTGTGCGTTTGGCGTGGTTATAGAAAAAATATGTAATTTTAACTGTCTTCAACAATACTTTAAGTTTACCAAACCAACCCCGGCCGGGATTGAAAAACCCGCGGTTCAATCCGGGGGGGTATTTTTTGTTTGGAATCGTGTTTCATTACGATTTCTTAAGTCACATTTAAGTTTAACCATAATTCTGTTCATTCAAGTAAGTAATTTGACTAGTTGTTTTCAAAATATAACACATCAGCCAGCAAATAGATATGATCTCATAATTCTTCACAACTTCTAAACTAGGCATATTAACCAAACAATAAATATAACTCGTCCATCCATAAGTTAGTGTTGACAAAAACTCAGTACAGTAACAACTCGACAGAAATTTGTTAGTGCCTTCAGGAGAAACGGGTTTCGAGGGGAGATTCCCTACATACTACAATTATAAATATCTACGAACCTAACAATGGACTTGGGGCACCTCGTTCGAAACCCAACTCTCCTACAAACCCCAGCTCAAACTGTATTCCAAAAACTACTGTACGAAAAGCTCTGTATCAGTATAATAATTATGTACATCATGAAGCTTAGCGATTGTTATCGACATCTACCAAAGCTCTGTGGACAAGTACCTCAGGCCGCATCTCTTACCATCTTCTATACAACATATCACAGAGAAAATGCGTGAAAAAATCTTTGTCTAAGTCGGCAACTGTATTAAAAATCCCGCCGGGGTTAATATGGTGGTTTACTGCTAGTGATGTGGGTACACTGGTGACGTCCTTTGGTTGGTTCAGAGACAAGATCAGGATGACACAATAACCGATGGACTCATTGTCGTATTAAAGGATAACTGGGATTCTGTTCAGTAACTTATAACTTCAAATCTTACAAATGCGCGCCTGTGTGTGTGTGGGGGGGGGGGTGTAATCATATTATACCATATCTGAATTTACAGAATATTTTTTTTCTACCAATTCTGAAAACAGCAAAATTAAGTTTTTTGATCACAGCCCAAATTAGACAAGAATTTGTGTTAAATCCGCTGAAAATATTAGCTATTTTATAGTCTATAATGCTGACTGTCATGAACCATCAGCAGAGAAAGACCTAATTGGTAAGAAAAAATTACGATAATAAAACTAACATTTGAAAATAATAGGTATTTCCCGTGCTCATACAAACAATTATAGCACAAAATATATATTTATTTAAACAGTAACTAGTGTAATCTATATATATATATAAAGCTTCTATTATTGACCGAAAAGGATATCAAATATTTAAAAAAAAATCCTACAATGTAAACTTTAAGTGAATGAAATGATGTTTTGTCGACAATTGTAAATCCACAGATACAAGAAGTTTTGTTTAGTTGGGACAACGTTATTCTGTGACAGCTTTATTAAATCATGACTTAATACAGCTCTACAAAGCGAAACGTTTTCTCGATGAAAAGGTTGTTCTTCAGCTTGTGTCTGTCTTCATCTAGACAACATTTCGGTCAGTCCTAGACCAAACTGGTTTATCCCTCTTCTTGACTTAAACGCCGCCTGAACCTATCTAAAACTTCAGCCTTAATCTTCTCAAAACTGGACTACTGAGACCATCATTATTGTATTCATCAGCAACTCCCCGCTACTCGAAACTTGAGCCTAGTAATCATGAAGATTACGCTTGTGTCTCGGAAATTTTTAACCTCCCCCAGACTAGCGCCTGCAAACAGAGGCGAGGCCAGCTCCATCTTTGTTTGTCTCGGTGCTCTTCTATCGTTCCCAGTCCAAAGTCTGTATAAAGACACAAACGCCTTTTTGACCCCCCCTCCCCGGTCATTGGGAGGTTGGGACACCTGCTCTCTTCTATTTCCTTCTCTTCTATGACCTTTACGATACTTCCAGGTATAGAAAACAATTATGGATATCAGTAGCTCTAATTTACTCCATCGTCGCATAAAATTAATATATTTTTTTAAAGAGACACTTTAGCAACACGGGTGGCGAAACGTTTCCATATTAAAGACACCCAAGTGTTGCAAAAGTGTCATATTCATGAACTTGTTTGTAAATTATTTATATAACATATTTCAATGTCTTCTTGAATCTGTTTCTCAGCGTTCCTAAGATAACGGAGTAGGAACGTTGCAGCAAGCCTACTGGCCCATATACGGTAGGTATTTCTAAAATTCAACCCTTTCTACCCATATATATATATATATATATGAACATAAAGGTGGAACACTACAGTAGGCCTACAGGCCCATGCCGGGCAAGTGCGTCTCAAATCTAAATCCTCTGAGTGAAATATTTGTCAAACCCAAAGAAATATTTGAATCTTAGTGCCTGCCTCTCCCAATAGTTAAAAAGTGCTCTGTTATTTTAACGCACGAGAGTTTACATGTCCTTGTCACTTCTCACCTGACGTGTGATACTCTTTACCTGACTACTACTGGCCTCCTCCTCACCTCTCCTCTTTTTTTTTTATCAGTCCCTGGATGATACTGGTCAAGGATGGAGCGAAACGCCTTCTTACGTAAATTTTGAGTTATTCCAGCTGTGGTATAGTGACTTATTCTTCAAGGCTAATTGTTGCATAATAAGAAAAATCAAAGTTACTTTGTTATGCTGTGACGTGCACACATCTGGCATACTGATCAGGTGCATAAAATCACTGATTGGTTGAAACATACTTTGTTAGGTTTGAAGCCTATCGGCTGCACGAGGATCATTGTAGCTGTCTTTCACCTGTACTCTAACATCAAGAATACTTTAATCCCTTAAATACGGATGAAAGTAAACGCTTAGTGTATATACAGGGGAAAATATATGCCTTCTTGTGTTTACACTAGAAGAGATATATACTATGGTATATATATACTTGAGATATATACGCCGATCAGTGTATATACTTGAAAGATATATAGATATATACACCCTTCAGTATATATTCACTGAGAGATGTACATCTCTGTGCGTATGTAGTTGCTAAAGCCAGTAATACTTCCTTTACACACACACACACACACACACACACACACACACACACACACCACACACACACACACATATATATATATATATATATATATATATATATATATATATATATATATATATATATATATATTATATATATATATATACATTAATAATTTGAATACATTATATAAATTCTTTATCACAACCAGGCGCAGCCTCCTGGAAGTCAGTCCTAACCTAATCTAGCCTATTCCGTCCAATCCTAGCATTTATATAAAGTTTTCAATCTAATCCAACCTTCTTATCTAGCTTGTGTGTCCAGTCCAAACTTCTAATTATCTACGTACTCTTCCCATCAACCATTCACCACAATTATCGTTTTTCCTTATTTACGTCTGGAATAGAGGATAAATGATATAAACAAGGCAGTTAAGACATATAAATCAAGTCATATAAACACCGAGTTATTCTCTAATATATATCTCAGTTATATGTGGGAGGGTGTCTTCAAGGGCTCTTGTTCGTAAGAATTGGTTCAAATTAACTAATTACCACCCACTCCCTAGGCGCTGTATAATCCCTGCGGGTCAAGCGCTTCCAAATATATAAGCTTTCTTAACAGACATCTTGAAAGACATTATTCGCTGTTATCTAACTCTACACTGATTAATCCCCTGAAGGGAGGTGCCTGGGTGTCAGTGAAGGGCTCTTGATTCAAAGAACTGGGCTCTCTCTTTTCTCAGATTAGATCTGTTTGCCTCTCATTCCCCCAAGTGCTGTGTGGACCTTACGCTTCCCCGTGATAATGGTAATTGTTTCGAGGATTCGTATTCCAGTTAGCTCCCCCAGCTGGGAATGGTGGGATTAGGATTTGGGAATTCTACCCCTTCCTATTCCCCACTGCAGGATCCCATCCAGCAGCAGCACACAGCGGCACCACCACCTGTAGCAGCAGCGGTAGTACCGCCTGCAGCATCAAAACGAAGCAACAGTATCAAGCAGGGGAACCACCACCACCTGCAGCGGCACTATCATCGCCACCACCTGCAGCAGCACCACCATCACCACCTGTAGGAGCACAACGTAGTGGCACCACCATCCCTCACACCACCTACAACATAAAGATGACGGGTGGTCATATTATCACCAACAGGAGAGCTGGAAACTAGTCTTCACTCAAGCTGGCAGGAAACACTACACATAGGTAGCCCGACTTCTCCCTCCCCACCAGCAACAACACCACGACGACGATGTCGACGACGGAGGTGGCGATGGCGACGAATACGACGACGACGAGGGCAGCGAAGGCGACCGACAGCTGGCTTGGGGGGCGACCAACTAGTCGGAGGTGGAGGATCATCTAGCTTCTTCTTGCTAGTCTTGGAGAGACGTCGTTGTTTGTGGATCATCTCGTAGAGGTGTTCCAGAGCGTCGTCCAGACCTTCTCCAGTGATGGCGCACGCTGGCTGGCCAGATATATACAACAATTAATTAAATAGCAGAGGCAGAGAGAGAGAGACTGATCACCACCTCAGGTGACAGCAATATATGTACACAAATATGATAATAAACATGTTTATTGGGGTAAATAGCAGAACAGATGAAAAGTAGCCAGATCTAATCACCATCACAACCCTTGTAGTTTAGCGCTTCTTTTTTATTATAATCACCATCACAGAAACTAGGCTAACGGGAATAATGACACGTTATTTTTTTCAAAGCAACCTCCACACTAAGACAAAACAAGGAACTTAGGAAAAATGGTCCTGCCAGTGAGTCAACAAGGATGGACCTAGTTTGTCCATTGAAAACATTCACATCATGGAGTTCCTAAAGGTGCAGGAAACTAGAAGAGCAGCCGCCTCCACCTATTGAGTTCTAGATATTTTGGTTGACTGTAGTAGTCATACAAAATAGCTGAGAGATCCTCAATGGACAAAATATACCAATAGGGCATTAAATCTGATTCTCATTCCTTAGGCGCTGTGGGACCCATAAGTGTTTAGTGCTCACCAGGGAATATAATAATCCTAAAGGTGCAACGGTCCTTAACATTTTGACCTTTAATATTTAAAGTTATGTAATAATTCTGATGTCTGATTGTCTAGTGGAAGTGGGCTTAAAAGGCTGAGGGAAAGAAGGGACTGTAGGTATAATTAAGTTAATAAATGGGATACAATAAGATGTGAACCTTAGTGATTAATATGATTATTCTCCTTTATTAATAAGTATTCTTTATTCCCCGTCGTCTTAATCTCTGTTATCACCTACTTTTCTTTATTTCTATATCCAGTTTACCCCTTCTAATATCTCTTATTCTAAATTCCTCTAATTCCATGGTAATTTATTTTCTTTTTATTTCCTGGTGCAATTTTTATTTCCCCAGCCTCATTTTTTGCCATTAAGATCATGCCACTAACCCCCCCCTCATTCCTTAATCACCATGGCAACGGAGTTGAGATAATGGACGCCATTAAGAAGTCTGCTCATCTGAAGGTTAATGAGACTTAATGAAGTAGTTAGTGGTGTGTTAATTGGTTTGTTAAGGGTCTCTGGTAAGAGGACTGTGTAGTAATTAGCATTAGTGGTGGTGGGCGGTTTTGATGGTAGTAGGGATGGTGGGTGGTGATGGCAGTAGTAGGGATGGTGGTTGTGGGAGTGATGGTGGTGATGGTACTTGTAGGGATGGTGGTGGTGGTGGTGGTGATGGTACTAGTAGGGGTGGTGGGTAGTGGTGATGGTACTAGTAGGGATGGTGGGTGGTGGTGATGGTAGTAGAGATGGATGGTGGTGATGAGTTCTACTTCCCGGAGTGGAAAAACTCTGGGAACTCATCAAAGAAATATAAAAGGTTATGGTTGTGTCTCTAAAGCCTCCGAGTGCCCCTAACATACCTGTATCAAGTCTCGAGAGTGACTCAGCCACCAGTAACATACCTGTATATGCCAGAGATGAGTGTTGCCCAGTTCTGCTATCCCTAGTAGCCTCTCAATCTCTAAGGGATCCTTGGCTCCTGGCAAATCCTGTTTGTTGGCTAGCACTAAGATTGGAACCTGTGGACAAAAGGTTATTATTTATTATTATTAAACTAGTGAGAGGCAGAGGAATGGAAGAAGGGAGATTAATGAAAGGAAGAAGTAATGTAGAGATTATGGGAAAGGGGAGAGGTAGACAGGGAAGATAAACGGAGATGAGAGGGTATGCAATGTTTAGGGAGAGGGGAATGGAGAAACGAGGGGTGTAGAGAGAGACTCATTTTTTCACTACAATAAAGCAAGCAAAAAAAAAAAGATATAAAAATATTTAATTACTGTTTTACTGGTTACATCATTGAGTTACGAGTTATTGTGTGTGTTCATCTCATCTCTTTACGTTACACTGCAGGTTAGACGAGATTAGCAAGTTTAATATTTTGTGATTATACACTCATACCCATATTCACACATACTGATATCCCACAACGCATACCCACGCATACACCCACTCGCACTCACATCATTGCTATTCCTCAGACCCACATCAACATCTCTACCCACACTCTTAACCTTAGTGCCATACACTCATTCTTTTCCATGTCGTGGGCAGAGCGAGACGTATGGGCAAGTCTCTTTCGATTTGCTGCCCCTCTTCACCTATTAGTAAATAGGTAATTGGATGTTAGTGGACTGTTGTGGGTTTTATCCTGAGAGTGAGACGAGGGTTGACATCCTCCTGGGAGGGAGTGGCATCCTGGGAGGGAGGGTACCCACGAGCATAGCTCTAACATAAATAACAATTACTTTCCCAGGCTGTTCATACAAGCTTCCTATAAGTTTACATATGCTATTTCTGTACATTAAGTTACATTAAATTAGGTTAAGTTATTGCATAAACATATAAGAAAATGTACTTATTGACAAATGAAAAACAATTTCGATTCCTCAGACAAAATGGCCGGAAGCAACAAAGATACGTTCAAAATCGTGCGATTATAATTTGTGGTGGCGAGAATGAGTTCCATACTCCTGCCCATATCACATGCCAGGCGCATCGTGAATTACGTACAAATTGTCTTGCAACCCCACGCCTGATAAAGCATATCAAGTCACGGAACAGGTGAGGTTTCAACGTATGCAAAGCGAGTTCTAAAACTCGTAGGCCAGAACGTGATGTGATTGCAATCGTGTCATGATTTCGTAAGTCCCCATAAAGCATACCAAGAAACAGAGGCACGCACAGAGGTACGCGACGGTACTAGTTCTGGAATTAAGGGGCCATAAACTGTGCGTAAGAGACAAGGAAATGAAGCCTCTTGTGCGTTAAATAACTTGGTAAGAAACATCATAGAAACTAAACCCACTTGTCCGTTTTTAGACCTTGACAAGAGAGACTGGAGGAACTTAACCCACCTGTGCGTTCTCGGGTAACTTCGCAGTTTTGTAGAGCTCACACCTGGCCTCCTCTAGTCTCTCCAGGTCGACAGAGTCTACCACGAAGACGATACCGTCAGTGCAGCGGGTGTAGGAGCGCCACAGTGGCCTTATCTTCTCCTGACCACCCACGTCCCAGATCAGGAAGCTGGTGCCCTGTAGAATAAGACAGTACAAAGTTAATGAGCAATTATTGTGGCTTCCATTTCTTATTGATAGGGATTATTATTAATAGTAGGAGGAAGCAGCAAATGGTAGGTGAGTTTTCGTAGGCAGAGGTACATAGGCAGTCAGTAGATGAGTTATCGTAGGAAGAGGAGGTAGGAGGCAGTCAGTAGGAGGTTAGTTACCTTTGAAGGAGGTAGGAGGCAGTCTGGCTGGGAATTATCGTAGGGAGCAGAGGAGGGTAGGCAGTTTGTGTACGGCCTTGAACCTCGGAGGCGTCAGATTCATCCTGAACGAGTCTCACGAAGGATCTGTGTTCCTCTTGGCTTGCGAGCAGAGGGATGTTGTTTAGTTGGAAATGGTGGTTGTGTCTTGCTTTTACCACCATCACTACCAACCACCACCACAGCTGCCGCCGTTATCACCACCACCTACCATCACCACCACCCACCATCACCACCACCCACGACCACCACCACCACACACACCCACCACCACTACAGCCACCACCACCAACCCCTCAAATCTTCAAAAGAGATCATAGCTCCCTACCAAACTTTCCCGTTCTGAAATTTAAATAAAGTGATTTGCATATCTCT